TATGTAAATGGATCAGGATTTAGGAATATCAAAATTTTTGAAATAGGAAATTGAGCCTGCGAGATGTCCTATTATTAAGACAGTGGAACAGGGTGGTCCAAAATAGTGAACCACTAGATCAGGCTTTATAAAAATGTTTTACTTGTAGCTACACCAAAAACCTATGTCGAAAACCTAAATCAAAAAGTAGGCTTGCTACTGACAGAATGGCAAATCATAAATTGAGGGTCGCTGACTTATTATATGATAATGGGATATTTGGTGGTATACTGTATATTCCATTTTCACGAAGAAAAGGATTAAACCATGGACTTAGACAAGGTCTATTTGATTGAACGTTCGAAAAATGAAATCGTTGAAATAGTGAGAACCAATCTCAAAATGTTAATCACTTGTTGCGCCATCAATAGCATCCCCTGGGAGAGTATTCAATGGCCCGGAACCTATTATTAGGCCTAACATTAAAGCTCTCTTCCAAAGAACCTATGGCAAAGGGGAACACTGGAGACTACGAAGGAGTCGTTGATCGGGGCCCATCATGTCGTTGGAAAGTACATAGTCACTGACTGCCATTCGTCATTCTGATTTATCAGAGCTCCTCTTTCTCTCACGCGTGTAATGCTCGAGAGGTATTCCAAGGGATAGTAAAGGCCTATCCAGAAGGATATGGATGGAGAGGGTGTGGCTTACCAAGATGTTAAGGCTGTGGCTCTAACAATGTTCATTCGAATACGGCCAATCTTCGGAGGACTCTCTCGAGAGAGAGGTATTCCAAGGGATAGTAAAGGCCTATCCAGAAGGATATGGATGGAGAGGGTGTGGCTTACCACGATGTAAAGGATATGGCTCTAACAATGTTCATTCGCCGTTGGAAGATGACAAGAATACGGCCAATCTTCGGAGGACTCTCTCGATCGCCACCTTGATATAGATTTTGCTCGAGTACATTTTTCAGGACCGACGCCGTGTATATGGTGAAGTCGTGCTTGATGATAGATGATGTATGTCAAGAGAGACATATTTAGGAATGGATACCTGAGTTCGGCTTAAAAATAGATGCATTACCTGTGTAATGCTAATATTTAGACCGTGCACCAACATCCTCAAATGACCAAACCTTAAGCACCCCTCACATATGAGCGAATCCACTAAACGCAGTCTTGCGAATAGGAATCGAGTAGAATCCGTGTCCATTTGTATGTGTACGTTGTACATCGTTTAGGTGTTCGTATGTATAAGTATCCCTTCGGAAAAATTCGGAAGAATGCGCAAATATGTGCTTCGATTCGTAGTCACGTTCCCAACTGCCAAAATTGACATCGCAAGACTGTGTCTGGGGGATTCGTTCATATGTGAGAGGGCCTTAATAAACCAAAATTTAACCTAATAACATAATAACCTATAAACCTTGATTTTTGATAATGTTGGGAAGTAGTTTCTATTTGAGATATTTTAAAGAACTGGGCAAGTTGCATTTGATGATGCATCACATTCATATCTTGGTAACCTTGAAATGTTGTCCACAGATTTAAAAACTCGAGGCTGAGTACCCTGTTATGATATCATTTTCTTTTCACACGTTCTTGCCTTGACGTTGTGCATACGCTTGAAGAGGACAAATAGTGACTTCACGACGATCATGATTAAGTTGAATCAGAACTACTAGATATAGTACTTGATGACGGCGGCGCTTATGATTTTAATTTTGGCAACGCTTCTTTACTGTACCCTATGCATTCGTTCGACGTTCGCTTCTCAAAAGAGAGCTTCGTCTTCAGTTTATGGCTGGACTCTGCGCGCAGGGTATCCCTACTGAGTCTTGGATTTTCTGGTTGGATTTGCAAACACTATCGACCTTATTCATTTCAAAACGAATTTAATAGACATGTTTAGTCCTTGGTTCGTAAATAGGGTAATGAAGCATGTCGGTATCTTGTTCATATATGCTTTATCACGATGTCTGTGGGTTTGATGCACTTTGCGCTTTTGTTTCCAGCTCGAGATCATTTCCTGATTGACTTCTTACTGAAGTGTAGATATTAAGCTAAGATGGGGTTGTAGTATCGAATTCATGGCTGTCAAAAGCAGATGCATGATGTAGTTACTGGTATGCAAACAGACTGTTATTCGAGTATACTTCTAGGGTGAATTGCTCATCCATTCTATCGCTGCTTATGTAAACTTTGGCGGGGTTACCAGAAAAGCGCATGTCTTTCAAACTCGCTTTGCTGACAAGTAACACGTGTTTGTATTGTTGTCAAACGTACACCAGAGCTGAAGTATAGTCAAAACGTTGTAAATAATCCTCCTCGTGGTATTATCTCGATCGGAAAGGTGCACGGGGTTAGATAGGTTGCATTTGATGTAAGACACGCGCCCTTGGAACAAAGCCTCAGATACGACTAGGCAGCTGAACGCACCGAGAAGTCTCGCGTCTCATTGATTAAAACAGGCATAACATTAACAATTAACAGCTCAGTATATCCATATTCATATCCCATCTTCATTAATGTCAAAAAGTCGGCAGGAATACAGGTGGAGGGCTTTCAGAGTGAAATTGAACCTTTGTAGACCGGGGTATTTCCGAAACACGGCGTCTACAATTAAGGAGTTCTTCGCATACTATATAACAATATCTATGCTAAACATTCATGAAAGAAATATGCCGAAAACGCAACAAAATTGAGCGATTTGGACGCCTATCTGTAGAGCGCTCCAACTTAGCTAAGAAAGTTTTAAACTTTTGAAATTTCGCGGGCTTTAACAATAGACGCATGCGCACTAATGTAAACAATGGAATAAACGAACGCAGGTTGTGGATTTGTTAATACGGAGACGTTAAAGTGACATATGGCCTCTTCTGTATTCTAGACGGTATTGTGCTCAATGACAAACATGACCATGTTAGTAATATGCTCCGATAACAAGGTTTAATCAGGTTCTAATTATAAAAAATGTGATATATCCTAGAGGAATAGTGAAGAGAGAATAGGCTACTGAAAATATTCAACAAAAAGAACTGAACGAGTTTCATGTAGTTGCTTAATTACGACAGATTGCAGAGTAACTTTCTATACCTCTGGAATAGTTTTTTATGTATTAAATGAAAATTATTCTTAAGTTGAAATAGCAAAGAAATACTGAAAGGAGATGATACTTTTGGTTCATGATTCAATGTGTGATGGATATGTGAAGCGTTGTGATTGAAAAGTGTCAGATAAAATTAATTTGTTGTACAGTATAACTACGATTTATGCAATATTGATACGATCACTTCACTACCACTTCGCCTATGAATAGGACGATTAAAAGTTTTAAAATTTCGATAGAACTAAAATTATTTTGAATTTCACTAGAATTTACTTACCACATATTGAGGTATTGATGTTTTCTATTTTGGTTCTTATATTTGAAACAAGTGATTCAATGTTTTTGGGGTGGCTTTATTAATAATTTGGAAATCTATATTCAGCAACGAATAATTATAAAGTATTGTTAATAGATTTTTCATTTCAATTCTAAAATGTTCCTATTTGAAAATGACGAAGTGGAAGCCATTTGACCTTCAAATGATCAGTTTGACCTTAAAGGTCATATGCAATAACACGTACACATTGAAATTATAATATTTATCCGTTTTAAGATTTATATTATTGTTGGCTACTAATAACCAAAAACAAAAACAGATGTAAAAGTATTATACATAGTTATTCCTTCTTGTTATACGCTTTTATACAAACTTGCTAAATCAATAAGTATCAATCGAGATCAATTGTAGATCATTAGATTTTTCAAACCAACAAGAAAGATGAAAACAAAAACATCAAGATTCAACAAATCATGGAAACACAGAGTTTAAATTAACCTTCTTCGACAACACAGCAAGTTCTTGAAATTCAATATTATCAAAATTTTTCCGAGTTCATTTATAGATGTCGTGCAAGTCACTCGAGCTTCGACGAAACAACACTGGTACGGGAAATGTACAATAAAATGACAGAAGGCAATGGACAACAGGTCTCCCCGTGGTAACAACACACTGTGATCACCCATACTGTTTCAACAAAGTACCACATAGTAAAAAAAAGAAAAATGCTCGAATAAAAATAATGGCTCATTATTTAAGGGTACTACAGTGGAATTTTGAATTAAACTAACCCAATTTGTGGCAGGTTTAAATTTGATAGCTAAAATGGCGAAACCGGATTACGATAATGTTATATGCAGTAAATCTCTGGCCGGTGTCAAAACAAATCAAGGACCTGAGGGTTCATAAGCTTTTATTCGCGTGCCATTTATGTCTTGGCATACGACACAATGATTCATATGTCCAGACCAATGTCAATTTTGATTTGAATACTCGATAGTACAAACTTGCTTGAATTAATCTAGACATTTTGATAAAGTATTAGTACGGCGAACTCCAAGTTGAACTTTGGTTTTGTGTAATTCAAATAATTTGTCAGCGAAAATTAATAGAGAACAAAATATCATTGTACTTTTTGCTTTTTGCTAGTAGACTTCTATAGAGTAAATAGTCTCTTTCATACGTATTTATTGTTTACAAATCAATGTATTTGCTGATTTAATACCACAAATTGCAATCATATAACACCCTTTTAATCTTTATAGATTGCATAAAATTTGGATATCAATTATCAAACTGACACATTTTGAGAACAAATTTTTGCAATCGGATATTTTTCTTACAGTTGTAATACTAAAACAAGAAATATTATTGGCATTTAAGATAATAGGCTAATTTCTCTTAATGAAATAGGTGGTCTTGAATGGCGGTGCGTGTGACTAAATAGCGACAGGCGCACGCGTGTGGCGATAGAATCGGGCACTGAGCACGCGACATTCAGGCTATTGGCTCGCGACTCATGGCTGTCAACCAATCAAATTTCGTGGTGACAGTATGTTCTTTCGACACATACGTATAAAACACCAGCACGCTTTCGATAAAGTATTTACATTTCAAATCACACTACTATCAACAATCCTCGAGTAATCTTTACAACGCGATAAAACATGGAGAAAGTGGATGATATGTCAACTAACGTCTCCTGGGCGAACGCTGAAACAGATAGCGGCTTCAATAGCAGTAAGTCTAGCATCGATATCAAATCTGATGAAGAATGTAACACCGAAATGGAACAAATCGACGAGAATAAGGCGCGTCGTGGCCGTAAGAAGGGGGCTAAAGGTACTGATGGAAAGAAAAAACGATACACTAAATCAAGGAGTAGAGCAAAGAGCCCGTCAAAGGTCCTGAAGTTGAAAAAGCAAAGGCGCATGAAGGCAAACGATCGGGAACGAAATCGAATGCACAGTCTGAACGGTGCTTTGGATACGCTACGAGAAGTTCTGCCATGCTTTCCTGAAGATGCGAAACTGACGAAAATAGAGACATTGAGATTTGCATATAACTATATTTGGGCACTCTCTGAAACGTTGGAGACCATCGAGGAGTCTGACAAATTACGTGCACAGGGTATCGAGCCAAGTCAGTCACGCATAAACATTAATGCCGCATTGTCGCAGTTCTGTCAAGAGCAGAATGTCAATTTATCTCATTTGAACGTGACATTGGGACCTCACCGTTCAAATCAGATTCAAGACTCTATGTTAATACCTCAAGGATCGATGTCGCCATCTCTACCTGAACAATCAATGTTACAAAACACTCCAGTGATGCACAACCAACATACTCCAGTGAACACTCATTCCTCATATGATATCAACAATACACATGGACAAATTCAACAACATCAGCATACTACAGCTATTATGGGCATGACCCCCGTCCAAGGGCACCACCATTACGAGCCCCAATGGGTCCCCCATCCTTCCACTCCTCAACCCACGTACACCATGCACGCCAATAATCACCCATGCAGCCCAGCATTTTCCGATAACTCGAGCTCAAGCTTCATTTCAAATGAATATTCGGACAGTCCCGAGGCTGGATACAAGCCTTACGAAACTTTTGTCATCTGAGCATACAGCATGGGGACGTATCAGGGAATGTCTGACGTAAAATTACGCTATGTGCGGGTGCAACACCGACACGTGCCTACCCGGCGGGGTCACCAATCGACGCATACCCGTAGATGGAAACAACCGCCTCGGGGGTCGAGACTCGAGAAAGAGAAAACTGTGCAATATGCGACAATGAACACTTCATGAACACACATCAGGAAACCAATTATGAACACATTCAGCAACACGAACATTTCGAACACTTTTTGCAGCATTTATACGAACATTTCTTTGTATTAGTAACTCTCTCATTTACAAATCAGCTGGCTGGCAAGTTATGACTGTTTTACTAAATACATAGCTAACTATGCAAAATGTATACCGCTCTAAATACATTTTATATTTGACTCTGTTGCAGATATGAATTTGACATTATTTCAGTGCTTTCATATATCAAAATACCCACTTTAAACTGGCCATTAAGGTTCAGCGGGCCATCGTTCTTTGACAGGTAGTTTAACGACTGGAACCGTCATTGAGTTCCATAAACCGCTTTTGTTATATTCAAATTTGCCTCTGGAGAAGTTATTGAAATAACAACAAAAGCCAGATATGAACTCTGACATGGCCGAAACTCATCAACTGTAAAAGTTTGAAATTTTAACCACTACTATGAATTTAATGACTTACAATAGTAAGCAATAATGTATTTTCATATATCATTTTGATGTTGCTAGTGTCAGTTGCATGGTGTCAAAAGAATTGTTTAGCGATTAAATGGCCTTAGTATTGTATTGTGCTCGTTTGATATCGGTTTATATGCAAGGTCGAGTTCTAATGAAAATATTTTTCATTCCAATGAATTTCAAGTGCTCAAAAATCACTTTGGGGAAATTGAAAAATGAAACAATGACATCCGAGTGTTGATAAAAAAAATACCGCGCTGTGCCTTATATTTATGCGCTCAAAGAATACGTAAACAAAGTATGCTCAATATTTGTTTACAATATTCATATTGAACAAAGCATGTGTTTATAAATATTGCTGATTTTAATACAAACTATATTTTTAACATTGATATTAAATGAAAATACCTTCATGGTCAAACTGAGATAATAAGCTACAGTGTAGGCCAGTAGAAAGTTATAGGACTCAAAATTAGTTCAAGACACGCGATACAGAGTTCAAAATGTTGATAAATTAGTTGTTCAAAATACGAAAATTTATTGGTCGTGATGGGAACAGTGTGATACTATTTGGTTGTAAATTTCCAAAATCATGAAATACACTTGTTCATGCTTAATTATGCCTAGTGAAAAGGTTGATCACAGGTCCATTGTATTTTTTCATTACATCTCGCATGTAAAAGCATACAACAAATGTACGTGTTCAAGCCAATATATGTTCACAACAGAAAATGATAGATTATATATTTATATTGTACAGTATTTACAAAATGTAAAAAAACAAATTGTACATAGTTTTATACCAACAAGGAAACATTAAAAAATAAAAAAGTTTATTCTGAAATATAACTGATTTTCTTGTGTTTACAATGTCTAGCACAGCGAATCGACCACTACAACTTCCCACAAAAATATTCTCAACTAAAAGCCCTACAGCACTTTCTTCCAATACTCTCCCCCGCTCTTCCCTTTGGCTTCTTTTTTACAGTACTGAACCACACTCGCACGCAGAGGTACTGCGATCTATCCGATTTCTACAGTACTCAACCTGTACTTACATGTTGATGTTATCACCAATTACTCAACACTGTACAAATGTACTCAATACTTCTTATTAAGGAATATTGAAATATTTTGGACGTTTTCTACATTTTAGACCCTTACACAATTATGTATTTGGGATTAAACTATCAACTGTTCTATAATCGTACTCAAAAATACAAACTATACTTGACATTTATACCCGACTTTTTACTCGAAAATCTCGGAATTACTTTTCAAGAATCACAATTGCAACACGTGATAAGTCATCCATCGTGGTAATTTATGGAGCTCAGTACTATTTATATAAGTGAAATTAAATACTTCTTGAACTAGTTCGAACACATTGCTCAACATTTTGTATTTTGGGAATAACGTGAGAATGATAAATCACGTTTTGACGTTCGTGATCATAAATGCGGGTTGATAGTGTAAGATATAATACAGTATCTCAAGAATACCTGCATTGATTCTATCCGCGTCTCAATTAGCGATCTTAAACAAAATCGAATCCGATGTACAAACGCGGTTATCTTTTACAGTATGATTAACGTGGTTGCGATTGAGACGCGTGTAGGAAGCGTGTCACAACCACCGAACGCAATGTTCGCACAATCCAGACATATTTCTTCACGTTTCACTGGTCCTTACTCAATATGTCAAAACAATTAACCCTGGGGATTTGGTTATGTATCACATACATATGCAAATTATGTTTCGTGCAGTGTAACCTCAGAGAGTGACGTAAAACGTGCTCGTACTTGAGACCGAGCGGAGTGGTGAAGACGGTTGTTTCCAAGCGAGCTGGATCTCCCGGGGGACTCGGGGAATATGTAAAGGTATATAACAACCGAGACAGGTCTCAGCTGTCTTGCTTGTGCTCGGGCATTCATGTGGAATATTGTTCGTTATTTCTTGTCTGTACTCCGTCTCAATCGCATCGCTTTGATTTACATTTTTTCTTAAAGCGCCAATAGCTGAAATTCACATCCTAAATAACCCTAAACTTTGAATTCACACTGATATTGACTATCCACATAAATTTGTTATACTCATGACACCGGGTTTTCAATTTTAAAACTTGAATCTATTTGTTTATGATCTATGATTTATTTTATTCATAAGGTGTAGACTACATGGTGTCTATCTGTAACTTGTGTAAGTTATGGTACTAATTAGCAAAATAATTAATTATCAATATAATATGTGGTGTATCAATATTACTAATTAAACCAATTTCGGCATCTATTATAAGATTTCGCTCACTAATTTTCATATTTCATAAGATCACACAAATATATGTAAGTTATATATTTGAAGATTGCATGAAATAATCGAAATCGGTTAATTTCTGATAAAATGGTTCAAACCCTCGAAGTTTTTCCATTAGTGTAATTTTGCTTCATGTTCTAGGCTTTGAGCAATCAAGTAATAAAAGCATTTGCTTTTTTCACTAAAAATGTGTTTATTTTCCTGTCTAAAAAACTTTTAACATCTTGTTTCATCAAGCTTCGGACATGTCCTTATGTGTATGTATGTATATCTTTATTGCCCTTTATGGAAAGGAGATACATGTATACAGTGTACAATGAAAATGATGTTGATATAACATTAATGTTTAAATGAACATAGAATATAAATATATACAATATATAAAACACACTTTACACATTAGTTGAGTGCTAACCATCTTCCCTGCAATGTCCATATAGGCATCTCATCCAATGAGCCACAGAACCGTAGAACGACCGTATCATGGGCATTCTATTGAAAGCCCATGATAACGACATGATCTAACGACATAATGGTGACCGGCGATGTAGGAAACATCAAAAGTACATCTCAAATATTTCGCTAGATTTACAAATCTAGAATTTTTTTTAGCAAAGCTCATCAAGTTTTTTTTTAATATTCATAGGTTACGTTATCTGTTGGACATATAAATAAAATATGATTCAAGAATATCTGAAAGAGAGTCAAAATTTCAATTGTTGACGCCATTAAAGTAGGCTACTTCAAATTTCTTTTAATTTTGCCGTCTAGTGAAAGTGTCCAAGCTGACCGATATATTATGGTGTACCGTTACTACCCCATGAAATAATTCAAAACCTCAATTCAAACACCAACAAAAGTTAATTGAAATTTTTACTTATTTAAACCATTAGATGAAATCTAATGAAACCAAACACTTCAGATCTAATGGGAAGGAAGAAATCTTGTAACAGACACTCGAGTTTATGAAAGGCCATTTTGGGATAGGATTATTCGAAATGTAATAAATGGACGGTAAATGACAATTGTGGTCAACAATAGCCTCGTCAAAAGAAACTGTGAATCTCGTACGAACAGATGAGCTCGGAGTTAAGACAGTAAAAGTCAAAGCACATCACAAATGCAAACATATCCCCGTATCTCCGTATCAGTTAAATTTTTTATTAAATTAACAGAAAGTCTACAAAAATCATCACTGATTTCGTATATAATCAGAAACGAAAACACAAGTGATAAATGGCGATAAAATTAGATTATCTCAATTTCTATAGGCAGTCACACGTTCAAATACACCAGAACGTGCCATAAGTCTTCGCCACAACGCCTCAGTTTACGAAAACAAACGCGGGACAAAAAGCGCAGGATTACAAACAGATAATATAGCATTTAAAGTTACTTGGACAAGATAACATTCAATTTACGGTTCTTTCAGGGCCCATAAAGATATATTTTCACCTGTTGAGCGTTGGTGAATACCAAAAACCAGCAATAATACACAAAAAACTACAAATCATTTTAAGCCTAAATCGGTATTTTGACATCACGGCTGTTCATTTTACTTTCAATTGTATTTTTGGCTTATTGCTCTCCTCTACAAATAACGTATCTTAAGTGGGGGGTATTATTTCTAGGAAGGATAGGATCCGCATGTATTGACGTTTATTTACTATTTGTAACCTTTACCCCTACTTTTAATTATTATTAGGTTCCTTGTAAGAATAGTATAATTCAAAAAATAAACATTATAACATGACTATCAAAATTTAAAAGGAAGCGCTGGGCTTCCGAACACGATAAATCCATCAATACGATCCCCTCCTCAACAAATGAACATTTCTGAACATCGCCTTATAGCTAATTCAAATGAATTAATTAAAGCATTGTTAGTCACTTTTATAATGGAGGATAGATTCAAATATAATTTACCATGGAACAGAATATAATCATTGGTACGTGAAGTCATTACTAGTATTTCACAAAAAATGATTTTTGTTAAGGGCCAAGTGTCTGTATACGCGAGCCTGTATCCCGAGAGATGATGTTCTTGCCTGTTGACCAGATATCATCTCATACCTTATTTTTACCATGATTTTCTCTTTAAATCGAAAAGCTATCTATTTTTCTTTCATTTAGATATCCTTCCGTGCGTGCACTCTATATTTATGCACTTATTTCCTCGTTTGGTTCACGGCTTTATCATTAATACACGTAAAACACGATAGCAACCGTGAAATGTTATTTATGGGATGCGCGTTCGACAGCAGACGCTGGGCAATCTTTGATAAATAAGGGAACGTGTAGTGGAAATAATTACACATGTTTTTCGAATGAAAAAACAAGAAAAACAACGTCTGAGCCCTCTTAGGAGTACCGTGTGTAGTTGGCGACAAGTGAACGGAGGAATGTGCAACTCTCTAGCAGACATAACAAGTTGCAATTCACTTTTTACGACTTTTATAAATATCGAATGCCCTATT